ATAAAAAGGGGAGGATAAACCTATATAGTGGAGAGGTTTCTATATTTCCTTTAAAGTAGTAAATTATTGATAAGTACAACATAAAAAGTATGTATATTGTAATTCCTAGCATAGCCACTAAAATAGATATACAGTCCAAAAGACAATAGATACATTAAGATAGGATACCAAAAAAATGCTCAAATAACCCATAAAAAAGGGTAGAAAAGGGAACATTTTTCCATACCAGTATTCCCTGGATCCTCAGAACTCGTATCAACATTAGTGTAGTGCTCTAACTTGTTCACCAGTTGTGTCTCAATCTGATGAAGACTATGATCTTTAATAGCATTTTCTACATCTTCAGTAAATTTAATCTGCTCTGCCAAGCACAGTATCTATTGAATAAAGAGGAAAATTATTTTTAAAAGATGAATTTACTTAGAAATATTTTGTAAATTTAAGACACCTTTTTCCAAATTGCCAATTGTATATTGGACTTCTCCATCTGAATGTCATATGGGCACCTCAAATATTTAATAGAGTAATACAGTAGTAGAAAAAGCATTGTGTGAAGCAGCCAAGCCTACTTTTCAGAACTCATCTCATATTACACTTTCTACTACAGGCCTATTTTCTGGTCCTAGAACCCGCCAAGCTTATTGTAACCTCAGGGCCTTTATACTTTCTTCCCCTGACTCTTCTCATAAATGGTTTCTTTTCAACCAGTATAATATGAAGATAGCAAAGTATGATGTATCCTATTTAATAAAAGGGCAATCTTCTAGCATTTCAAAATAATTTCTTAGCACACTACTGAAGTCTACAACACCAAAATTTCAATTTTTTCTTAAATTAAGATCTTAGTTTTATAATCTAATACCCATAAATAGAAACCAGCTATACATCAAGGCAGATAGCTTTCTGTTAATAATACCAATAGAGCAAGGCTACTAATAAAGCAAATTATACATTTAAAGACCATTCTTTGAATATTGGTATAAAAATAGTTTCATACAGTTTTTAAATGAACAAGGAAAACTGATATGCTCCTTTAAACTAAAAACATGATGCACATCACAGAAAAGCACTACACCTGTTGACCCGTTACTACTGAGCATTTTTCTGATACATACCTTTCAACATCCAGATGAATATCGTCAAATGCCTCTATTAGATTAAATCATTTAGTTATCTACATATACATTTTATAACTTATCATAGCAGGCTAAGCTGCTGTCTTGATCTAACTTAAAACATTCTATAAATATTATATTATGGTTCTTCTATGGAAGAGGAAGCCAATTAGTAACTCTTTTAGGTAAGTCATCAACAGCTTCTTCAATCAAGTATATGGTGAAGCATTTAAGCAGAACCAAATTTGCTTTTGAGAAAAGACTTTGCTCTTTCATTTTCATATGAAAATGTTCATTTGCCCACCTCCAAACCTAATACCCCTATATATGCATTTCCTTTCAAGCAATACTACTAAATTTCTGTATTATAAATGCACATGAATAATCTCAATTTTTTACAATTTTTATTTCAAAATATTAGGGGGTATGTGTTCTTGCTACATGGATGAATTGTATAATGCTGAAGTCAGAGCTGTTAGTGCACCCATTTTTAACAGTCTGCTACATAATTTCTGTGAGAGGCTAAAAGAAGTGATAGTCAAGACACAGTCTTGGGTTCTCAAGTCACATTACCATTAAGATAGCTGGACAGGCACTAATATTATTAATTACCTAAAATGTAATTGCCACTAAGGTGCTCTGCAAACATTATATGATATGACCTTCAAAATGATTTGGTAATACAGGTACTACTATACCCTCTGAACTAAGTGTCAAAATGTATCACTCCGAGAATAACTAGCTAAGGCAGCATTTACAACTAAGGTCTGTCAGTTTCTTTCCACTTTACCACATTGATACCTTCCCAGACCCAGAAAGTACCTTTTCTCTATGTTATTCTAGGTCTTCACAAAAAAGGAACTAAATTATCAATAACCTATACCTGACATCCATGTAACTGTTTATACTACATAATACCCTTATATAAATTCTCTTGAGATAAATATTTCTTAGCATTAACTGCTAATAAACAAGAATTCTTCATTTCGGTAGACAATGAACTATTTACATTTTTAGTAGTTCACATTTTTACTTGAGTGCTGAAGGGCCTAGAGGTAAGTTTCAGGCTCAAATCCAGCAACTTTCTTTAGCCTGTATCTCCCACTATATCTCCTGCTATAACTGTCATTTCCATAACCCAATTATACAATTTTTGCTTTTGTGAATTTTTTTATATTGTGTCTTTTATTCTATGTTAATTTACATCCTATCTGGAAGTTGACAAAGTACTAGGAAACATTTTCAGAGGTAATAAAGCAGCTTACCCTGATTCTGCAATGGCATTGATTATTCAGTGATAATTACTTTTATTTTTCTCTAAGAACTTAAGATTCTTTTAAACAAATTTTAGTTTGCCTCAAAATGCCAAAAGATACAAAAGGAATGTTTGCAAAAATGGCTCAGAATCTAAAATGTGCCAAGCTTCTATACTTTAAGAGAACCAACATAAAAACCTGTCCCAACAGCTACTAAATTTTTTAATCTGAAAAGCAAGTAACTTTTAGAGTTGTCAGGTAAATTTTTCTAAGAGAAATCACAGAACATTCCAATGACTACCTTCCACAGTCCCTAAGAACTAAAGTTTCTGATGACCTACACTTATAGTGTTAAGTCTGGGCCAAACACTAAGCAAGACAGGACTTTTTTTTTTTTTTTTTTTTGAGACAGAGTCTCACTCTGTTGCCCGGGCTAGAGTGCCGTGGCTTCAGCCTAGCTCACAGCAACCTCAAACTCCTGGGCTCAAGCGATCCTACTGCCTCAGCCTCCCGAGTAGCTGGGACTACAGGCATGCGCCACCATGCCCAGCTAATTTTTTCTATGTATTTTTTAGTTGTCCGATTAATTTCTTTCTATATTTAGTAGAGACGGGGTCTTGCTCTTGCTCAGGATGGTTTCGAACTCCTGAGCTCAAACAATCCGCCCACCTCGGCCTCCCAGAGAGCTAGGATACAGGCGTTGAGGCACCGCGCCCGGCCAAGATAGGACTTTTAATACAAGTTTTAGTGGTATACTTTGATATGACCTGGAACAAAGTTGTGAGCTACATATCTAGTATCCAGTGTTTCCAGGGATGAACTCCTATTAACACTGAGCTGCAGTAATCTCTATAATCTACCATGTGACCTAGCTCTCAAATCCTGTGACTATATTTCAGACCTATACTGACATCCTGCTAAGCTCCTGCCAGCTCCAACCTCTTAGATGATCCCATGGAAGGGGTGGAGGGTAAAGAACAGCAGTGTTATAGATCTGTGTCTCTCCATCAACAATGAACTGATCATCTGGAATCAGGATGCTATTACGTGCCTGATTCCATCCTCTCCATTCCATTCACCACTGGCCTGCACTGCTCAAATCTCAGCACGCCTTCTGCTTGAAAGCATCTGAATTACAGCAAATTAACAGAGCTAGAAGAGAACTTCACTATCATGCAGTGCATCCCCCACATTTTACAGTTGAGGGAACTGAGACCCGAAGTTAAGCAGTTTGTCTATGTAAACTATTAGATAAAGGGAGAACAAAGATAACACTTATCTAAGCCTCTCGACCTCTAGGTCAGGGTTGTTTCCATGATACCATGCCAATCTATACTCCTCCAGACATAAGCCCCCTTACCTGTGAAGGGAATAGAGATGGGTCAATTGCACCTTGAGAACTTTGCCCAGCAGTAACACATTCCCTCAACAACTGTTTCAAAGTTTCCTTCATTTCCAAGGCCAAATCATTCAACCAAGCCTGAAAATAAAATTAGAAAATAATATACACAAGATACAAAACAAATATGTAATTTATCATCTGACCCTATTCCTTTATTTCAGGAGGGGTATTATAATTTCTTGTGACTATCACACTCCCAAAATGAGTTACAGCCATTTAATTCTTTATTTTAATAATAAATGGTTTAAATAATTTGAAGAAAATTTTTCACCTCTTGCGATAATAGTGGGTGTGAAATCTCATAAATTTGTGGCTATCACTATCATGACTATACCTATAAAAACCAATATAATATGAACACTTAAAAAGTAACCCATTAATTTCATCGAATCAAACTAGATAGTTGGCCAATAAATAGGGTGAAAATGGCTGGCTAAGTTCCCTGGCTCATGCTATTCTAGTGATCTCATATTAATAAAGTTGGAACCATTGGAAAGGATTGCTTCATTGGTATAAACTGTATTATTTGGGGGCTTAGGCTGCCTCATTAAACAAAGCTAATTTGTTTCAAAGTCAAAACAATATATTTTTCCACTTACTTGATTATAGATAATAAAAGTAAACTGAAGTTAAAATAATAATGATAATTAACAGAAACAATGATGAATATTAATATTTATGAATTACTTAACTTTAAAAGTGTATCATTTGCAACAAAATATAAGGGCATAAACTACAATCTTAGTTTTTCATCATTACTTACTTAAATTAACTCTAAGTTCTAGCTTTTTTTTCATTTGTAGACCACTTTTCAGTACTAAAAATAGCATGACCCTTTGCCCAGCTCAAAAGCCACTGTAGCTAAAGAGTGAGAATCTACCTCTCACTGTAAAGGCTACAGAGACACCTACTCTGCTAATCATTACAAGAGTTTCAGCTTTTCCTTTGCTGGCATACCTGCCTTAGCCCATTTGCTAAAACTTAAATTCTTCCTTTCTCTGTAGCCCCAACAAAACTGCAAGAGAGGAAAACAACAACCATAAAACTCTTAACTAAACATGATGGCTACTTAGCAAAACTTCAATGCTTTCAATCACCTGACATATGTACTCAACATCCAATAAAATGTTGAGGCCTAACCAGGAACAGACATTTTTCAAGGCTGTATGGTTGGTTATGTGTATAGGGTACAGTCCCTGACTTCTAATTGGAAGATAACTTTGGAACCTGAAAATTACAATTCAATGTGGTACAACCTATTACCAGTTGGTTTTAACTGTATGCTTGTAATAGGCCTTTGATCAGTTCACTTCCAGTCCTGCAGAAGCAGTTAATCAATAGTTGTTCTACAAATGTACTAGTTTCAAACTTACTTTTCACTTAAATCAACATATATAATTCATATCTTAAAGAGTAAAGTGAACTAAAATTTATTGAGTACTTAGGTTCCAAGCAGTATATAGTGTACTTAAAGCCAATTATTTAACTTTCAATAGAAAGTCTTTGTAACAGAGAGAAGTTGAGCATCCCTATGACAAAAATCTGAAATCCAAAATGCTCCAAAATCTAAAACCTTCTGAGCTCGACATGGCTGCTCAAAGTAAATGCTTACTGGAACACTTCAAACTTTCAGATTAAGGATGCTGACCACTAAAACGCAAATATTCCGAAATCCAACTAAATCTGAAATCCAAAACACCTCTGGTCCCAAACACTTCAGATAAGGGATTCTCAACCTGTAGTGAGATTCCCATTTTAATGATATGAAAATTCAGACTCTAAGTCACATAGCTAATAAGCTTTGGAGCTAATATTAATGTCCAAATCTTTTTGACTCCAAAGACAAGGTTTTTTCATAATTACATGCTGCCTTCCAAAAACTAAAATCTCACATTCTTTTTAATACCAGAACACTCTGAACCTAACAAATCATTGTTTAAGATATTAGATGAGTTTCCTAAATGACTTAAATTAACCGATTTTATCCTCCAAATTGACTATTTTTCATATAAAGTTCACACCATTTTTTTTCTATTTTCACACTTGAAAAAGAATTACTTACCTCTACATTATTTGATAGAAGAATTTTATTTTTAAAAGGTACAACTTCTCCCTCTAAAGATTTCATTGCAGTTATATGTTTTGATTCCTCATCAAAGCACACACTGTTAATGCCTACAATATAAAAGCAACAATTTAAATGCAAGAGCAGTAAAGATATAATTATTAGACATGACATATATATTATATAGTGTATAGTATAAACCCCATTAGATATTGTAATGTAATAGAATTATAAAGTATATCGCATATGTAATGTTCCTATTGAGGAAAAAAAGAATCACTCTTTTTTGATAGACATTATCACTAATCTAAAATATCTCCTATCAGTATCTAACTATACGTGACCTGATTCATTGGTAGTTTTACTGTTTATTTTGATATTTATATGTTTGCTTATTCATTTGTTCGTACCATGTTCCAGAAAGAATGTTAGGCAACCTAATCAACTAATACATACCAATCATTAAGAACAGTCCTACAGCTGGGCATCATGTCTCATGCCTGTAATCCCAGCACTCTGGGAGGTCGAGGCAGGAGGATTGCTTGAGCTCAGGAGTTCAAGACCAGCCTGAGCAAGAGCGAGATCCCATCTCTCCTAAAAATAGAAAAAATTAGCCAGGTGTGGTGGTACATACCAGTAGTCCCAGCTATTCAGGAGGCTGAGGCAAGAGGATTGCTTGAGCCCAGTTGCAGTGAGCTATGACGCCACTGCAGCCTAACTGAGGCAACAGAGCAAAACTCTGTCTCAAAAAAAAAAGAACTGTCCTAACTCTCAAACATTCTTAATGGGAGTGTAAAATGTTATAACCTCTTTAGAAAATGATTTAGAAGTTTCTTAAAAAGTTAAACGCTTCCTGTATGAGTTAGCAATTTCACAATCAGGTATTCATCCAATAGAAATAAAAACATATGTCTACAAAAAGATTTGTATGAATGTTCACAACAGCTTCATTCATAATAGCCAAAAACTAGAAATAACCCAAAGTGCCCATCAACAGGTAAATGGATAAATGGTGGTATATTCAAACAATGGAATACTATTCAGCAATAAAACGGAATGAAATACAATTGTAGGTATCTCAAAAACATCATGCTGAGCAAAAAACCCAGACATAAATGAATGCAAAGAATACATATTGATGATTCTACTTACAAGTATTTCTAAAAATGGCAGAAACTAATCTACAGTGATAAGAATCAGATCAGTGCTTGCCTGGGGCAGAGTGAAGTGGATGAGGAGAGGGGCAGGAATGACTTCGAAGAGGCATGAGGAAACTCTGGGCCCACGGGAATGTTTTATGTCTTAATTGCAGTGGTAGTTACACAGGTGAATATAATTTGTCAAAACTCATCAAACTATATACTTAAATATAAGAAATGTATGTAAATTATAGATCAATACAGTTTATTTTTAAAGTAGTAAAAACCTTTCCTAGATAAGGTAGTAATAGCAACCATTATAGACAATATTAGATACAAAACAAAAAAAAGAGGAAAGGGGAAGGGCAAATAAGACTCCTCCTCCCAAATTTGCATATCACTTCACGGTATATAAAAAACTTGACCACATTACCTCATTTTGATCTTCAGAAAAAAACCTTTAAGTTATTATTTGCAATATAAGAGGAAAACTAAATTTCAGAGGGGTAAATTAATAACTAATGAATAAATAGTAGAGATGGAGCTTTGATATAAACCTTCTAATTTCAAGAGCTTTCTACTACCTCCCATTGCCCAAATCACAGTTACAGATATAAGCACCCTAAAGCTTCAGATACACAGAGTTGGCAAATATTTCTGTAAAGGACCAGAGAGTATTTTAAGTTTAATGGGCTATAGGGTCTGTGTCAACTACTCAACTCTGCACTCATAGCATGGAAGCAGCTATAGACAATGCATAAACTACTGAGCATGGCTATGTTCCAACAAAACTTTATTCAAAAAACAATAGGTACTGAGCCAGATTTGTCCCATGGCCTATAGTTTGCTGATCCCTGATTATAAGTGAAAATGATGAAAGTTTTTTTACTTCTTAAATTTAATTTGAAAAATATAGCTCTTTTCGATAGAGTTGCTTACTTACAGAAGCATTAATTTGCTTGCTCTTTCCAAGCAAATGAAATATTTTGAGAAAATCATAGTCATTTTTGAAACAAATCTATTCCATTTGCCATTAATAAATACCCCATTAAAGTGGTTCAATAACATCAAAGCACAGCATACTAATTACTTTACACTTTTCCCCACATAATCTCACCTATCCCCATAGTTTGATTGTTATCTCTATACAGACAACTACCATTTCTACACCCTCACCAAGGTCTGTATGCTGACAATAACTGTCTATTGAGTATCTCCATTTGGATGTCTTTCAGGAGACCTTAAACTTAATAACGAAGGGACATAATCTCCTTCACTTCCAGGCCTTTGCATAGACTATTCTCTCTGCCTGCCCACCTTTTTTCTAACTAATGCCTATACATTCTTCAAATCTCACCTTAAATGTCACTTTCTCCATGATGCCCTAGAACTGAGCTAAATGCCCTCATAGACATAACTACAGCACCACATACTTATGTCAATCACAGAACTTGTCACGCTGTACAACATTTATCAGCTTACTAGCTTGTCTCCCCCATTAAATTATAAGTTCTTAGTCTGTATGAACTGTATATTATTCAATAGTCTACCCAATAGCCTAACATTATGCCTGGCACTCAATAAATATGTGTTAAATAAATGTTGACACCTACCAGCAAATAGCTTCTTAAGGTGAGACTGAATCACTGATGGGTTAGTAGACTGGCCCAGTATTTCTAATAAGTCATCATCACCAATAAAATAAAATCTTGGGAATGCTGAGCGTTTTTCCTAATAAAGATAAAAACAAAAAATAGCTTTCTCTTTTCAAATAATTAAGATATTAAGTACTTCACAATGCATTATATAAAGATTTTTTTAAAACATGCCTCCAAAAATTCATTTAATGATTTCTGACATCTTTGAAGTTGATCAAGTATCGTTAGTAGAGAATTTCTGATGCCTGCATGAGTAGTTAATGTTGTGACTCTATTGTCTTTCTTGATGTCATTCATTATTGACCTACAAAGCAAAAACATTATTTTCACATGTATTTTAACAGTTTTTTGGCCAAGACATATTAAGACTTTTTTTTGTGTGTGCTTAACACAAACTAGATGTAGCACTTATAAATAGTAACATATCATTATATTTCTAATAAATAATACTAAATACCTCATTATCATTTTAACTTGCTATATTACAAATTCTCTTATATTTTTTATTCACTAAATATTAAGCCCTACCTCATAGAGCCAATGTTCCAGTGACAATGAAAGACATTAAATAAATTTCTCAAAATATTTAAATAAAATTACAATAGATGCTAAGAAAGAAAAGTACAAAGTATGGTTGAAGTGGCTAACAGGGTGACCCATGACCTAGGACTTCTTTGAAGAAGTAAATTAAGCTGTGTTATGAATGATGAATAAAAGAAAAAGTCAGTGAATAGGAGGGAAAGAGCTTCTAGCAAAGATCCTGGGAAAGAGCTAGGCATAACTAAAGGCTAGAGTCACTAAAGCAAAAAGGAGACTAGCACAAGGCTAGAGAGATGGACAAGGAGTAGATCTTGCCTTATCCTTAGGGCAATGGGAAACCACTTTGAAACTTTACTTACAGGAGTAAAAAACAACAAAAAAAGAAGTGCTAAAACTGCATTCTTATTTTCTTAAATAGTTTAGAACGTAGCAGATATTAAACTGATAAGAACAGATACTACACTTGATCTTAGACAAAAGGATGAGAAGCAATGAAACTGCATTTTTAAACAATTACTCTGGCTGTTGTGTGAAAAACTTATATATAAAAGCAAGTCAGAAGATTAATGTAGTAGTCCAAGTGAGAAAGACAATACTTTAGAATAAAATGGGAGAATTACAGATATAAAAGATGTTTGGTTCAAGATAAGTAGGTTAAAATCAATAAAATTTGGTAATTTGATGTATGTGGAAGTGGAAGAAAAGGAGCTATCAAAGATATCCACCATGTTTCTGCTTTGAACAATTAGGTGGTACCATTTATTGAGACAGGAACCATAAAGAGAAAAGATCTATGGGAAAGGAATTAGGGAGTAAGTTCATAAATTCAGTTTTGACCTGAGGATGTTTAGGAGATTTGAAACTCAGAAAAGAAATATGGGCTGCATGTATAAATTGGGGAGACCTCTAAGGAGAGAATATACAGAGAGTGACAATGTCTACAACTAAAGGTTTGGAGAGAGCTGAAGATTAGGAACTAGGAAGAAAATCAGAGATATAGTCAGAAAACCAAGAGAGGACAATATTACAGAAGCCCAAGGAAGAGACTTTCCAAGAAAGAAGAAATGCTCACCTCTATAAAATACTAGTAAGAGAAAAAATAAAATAAGAAATGAAAAATGTCCATTGAATTTAAAACAGGAAAGTAATTGGTGATTTTAGGAAGTATATATATTAGGTAGAGTGGTATGGTAATGATAGAAACCAGCCCAAAATGGTTCAAGTAGTAAATGCTTGAGTGAGGAATAGCTTCTCAGAAGGATCCGCTAGAGAAAGAGCTTGAATACACAAAAGATACCAATAATGTAAACGTAATTAGCTTGTATTAAGCACTTCACAATATGAATGAATAAAAACTGCTATATGTGTCTACGTCTTATTTAGCTATACTGACCTAAAATCTTCATCAACTCTGTTGAAGCGTGTCTGTTCTTTTGGTAATGCTCCACGGCCAAAAATGGGTTCCAAATATACCCACTTTCTCTGAATAAGATTTAAATTCTGTAGGTACTCATCTAACTCTGCAAGTTTTCTTTCCCAAATTGACACTTTATCTTCAAACCCTTTATAATAAGGAGAATCCTTTAAGGACTGAAGAAGGCATCTATTATCTCCAACCTGGTTTACTATATCTTTCCAGTCTTTAATCAGCTTAATAGTTCGACTTTGGCTGTCTTCATAATCAATCAATGTAAACACTGCTCCAACTCCCCAAAGATCAAGTTCACGTAAAGCTTCTCTGATTGTAACTTCACCTTGTGCCCGACTATTTAAATCCTATATAACACAAAATATCCATATTTATTATTTCAACATTAATTATCATATAAATAAATTATAAAATACACTTTATAAGAAAACATGTTTTATCCAGCTTTTCACCATAAGGCAAAAAAAATTAAATGGATATATTTTACATGTAATCCAAAAGGATTACTGGCTATTTTATCAAAGCATATCAGATACTAAGCATCCTGGTTCACGTGGTCAAAGTATATACAAAGTTCTGCCTTATGCTTTTCGTTTCTATCAAAAGAAAAACAAAATTTAAGCATCTATCACAAAAGACAAAACTAGTCTGGCTTATTTAAAGTTTTGTAGATCAAAAGACCAAGATTTGGAAGAATGGAACTACAGAAATATTACTGTAATCTTATTGTAAATTCTAATACATCTAAAATAATTAACAATCAACTAGAGTTATTTTCTACAGTAGTCATGCTTTATAACTTCTCAAGATTATCTCTAGGCTGGGCGCGGTGGCTCACGCCTGTAATCCTAGCACTCTGGGAGGCCGAGGTGGGTGGATCGCTCTAGGACAGGAGTTCAAGACCAGCCTGAACAAGAGCGAGACCCCGTCTCTACTAAAAAATAGAAAGAAATTATCTGGACAACTAAAAAAATATATATATATAGAAAAAAATTAGCCAGGCATGGTGGCGCATGTCTGTAGTCCCAGCTACTCAGGAGGCTGCGGCAGAAGGATCGCTTGAGCCCAGGAGTTTGAGGTTGCTGTGAGCCAGGTTGATGCCATGGCACTCTAGCCCAGGCAACAGAGCCAGACTCTGTCTCAAAAAGAAAAAAAAGATTATCTCTAAACATGTTCCAGGATTATTAACAAATGTAAAGGTTTACTTTTTGGATAGAAAATAAAACAATTTGACATCGAAAGTCCTTATATTTTTGAATGGCCAGAATGCAACATAGAAAGTCTGCCACTTATGATGGAATTATGAAAACTTTTACTTTTACCTGAGACCTTTTCTAACCCTGATTAGCAAACTGGTTCTTGATTTAGCTCTCTGGATTTTTGTAACTTCTATTTGTAACGTAACAGATGACTTTAAATGTATGTTATGTAAAATTATTTGTATTTGTTTACTTTTTGATTAAACCTGACTCCCTTCTTCGAGAAAGACTTTTTTGTATTTCATACTTTTTCTTTCTCAAAGAAGGGATTTATACTATATTATTGTGTTTACACCCCCATACACAGGGCCAGACAGATTCAGAGAAATTACTAATGAAAGAATAATGAAATAATGGAACATTGTCAGTATCTTAAGAAAGGGAAACAAGTCTAACTTGCTATTTTATTTAAACAACAAAATATGAAGCAAAATTGTATATTAACAAAGTTCAGATTTACGGGATATTTATAAAAGTGATTCTTACTTTAAGGTCTGCAGCTTTGGCTACAATTGTATCAGCTACTCTGAGCAAATCACCAAACAACAATTTCTCTAAACTAGTCCCCCTAGGAAGGCCAAGTAGACGAAAAAGGTCCAGCCAGTGATCTGGAGAAAGATGTTCCCCTCTCACATATTTCAAGATAGGAATTACTGTCTGTTAAAAAAAAAAAAAAAGAAAAAGGCATATATATACATTTATACACAAATATTAGCAAAATACAAATTAGTATTTATTTTTATGGTTATTAGCTATCAAAATTTTAATTAATCCATTATGTTTAACAGCCTTCAAATATATATATGGTTAAACAAAACTGTACAAAATTTTTTATTAAACATTACTGTAGATGCATGCAAATTTCCCTTTGTAGTTTAATATATTTTAAAACATGAGATAGAATATTTCTATTTGTATTATTTTATGATATGACCCATGTGGCACTAGGCTGTATAAACACTTTATTTTTTAACTTTAACTATAAATTTCTTACTTAAAACTTCTTTCGAATTGGTAGCAGAAATATCAATTTCTATGGTTTACTCTGTTTCCTATTTTTTCATATAATGAAATAATGGAAAAACATATAAACTTTTAGTTCAGTCACTACATAATAAAAAGATACATGAAAGCTCCAAACTCATTTTTAATTAGCAGAATAAGTAAAACAATTTTACTTTATATTTGTCAACTTCTGATTGTAATTTCACTGTCATTACTGAATGTTCTCCAATCTTCCTTAATCTATCATGCCAATTCATCAAAAATTCCTCAAACAGGTATGTCTTAGTCCTGTAAAATACCAAAAACACATTTTAAAGTTTACATCCAATAACAAAACTACAAAATTATGAGTCTAAATACTGTTTTTGAATCAAACCGAAAAGTAATCCAATCTTCATTGGCCATTTCTTGAAATCCTTGCTGAAATTCTTCATAAAGGGCCCAAATTTGTGCACAGCTCTCAATGTCTTTAGAGATGCTGTATGCCAGAGAGAAATTAGGCTCTTCTAGTCCAAAATGATGGCAGTCATCACTATAGAAACAAATATTGAAATATTAAATTTTAAAAACAGAAAAACTGTTAAGTAACAATAGTTTTTTAACTGCATTGTCTGTGTGTGTGCGTATGAGTGCACATGTGTGTATGTTTGACAGTGGAGAAAGACAGTAGTAAACTACCCATTTTACATGAGAATTTTAACTACATATATATGGGCTCTCCTAAATTCATGAATACGTATTTTCCTAATGGAGTCAAAATCAAGTTTGTAATATATAGAGATTTTTATGTACATAATATATGTCATATACATGTAAATATTCATGATTGTATAAATCTATTTATTAATCTGAGAAGAAAATAATCTCAGTTGAAAGGGCTAACTTCTAGATTATAAAATACACTTAATCTAATTGGTATAATGATATTTAATAATTATGGAAATAAGACTTCCACTCACATATGAAAGCAATTATTTTTATGGACACATTTGCTTAAATAGACCAAACCTAAAGCAGTGTTCAAATTTAACTACTTGCATTATTATAAGATGAACCGACAACACATTTTTAGTCTTTTGTTATTACTTATTTTGTAACCTTCACTTTTTTCTCAGAGGTACTGAAAGTAAATTTTCCAAATATTTTATATACTCCATTTTTAAATAGGATGAGATCACAGAAAGTGAGTATTCCAACCCCCTAATTAACTTTTAAGTAAATTTAATTTTCTATTCTATTTCTACTCATTTCTTGAAATTTGCTTTCTCTTAATATCCTTATATAAAACCATGACTAAGACAGCAGTAACATG